GTGTGTGTATCAGACAAAATGAAATCAATGCTGATCTATATCTGTACTCTTGTAGATGCTTCTGTTGTCCATATTTTGGTAATTTATTGTCTATATGACTCTAACGAAACATGAACTTGCAAACTATGGGTGCAGTTGTCTCTCTCTTATTGTACTATACACACTCACATCCGATATGTTTGTGCTATATAAACAGAATGCTAATAAAGCCTTCGTTTGTATTTTCTTTCTTGATATCAGACAATTGCTCTCAGATTTGATTTTCATCCACATCGAATAGAACCTTTATGTATTAGATAACAAACTGTAAATTTTCAAGTAGCTTATTCTTTTCTATCGTATTTTAGAAACTATTGTATGATCTAACGAAAAATAATTAATGACGTCATCGGAGCTCGAACAGAAATTTGACACTAATATGTAACATATTAGTATTGTAAAAGCTCCCTGAAATACATGGTTTTTAGAAAAAAATCAGTGTCTGATGTTCCGGTGTGACCGATTGAAGGTTTGCACTCGTATCAAACAATTTTCTTAGATACTGGTTTCATTTTAATTCACATTAATTTCTCAAAAATCAAAAGTTATTTTAAATCTATTCAACTATGTTGTTTAGTATTTTATCAAACAACAGCATTATCTTTATTTTAGTTAAACAGAGAAAGTCGTTGGTCAATTATTCAATGTGCGTTGAACAATTTACAGCAGAAATGTAAAGAAAAAAGAGCTACTGTAGTAGATATCAAAGTAGGAAGAAGTTCAACTTGAATATATTTAAAAGCATCTCTATTTTGTCTACTAGAATACAATCGAACAATATCACAGAAAGAATATGAATTTGAACTGTCTAGAACAATTGATCGACTACGTAAACTCTAACCGATTTATTACTGATTATTATGAATTATTTTCTGCAGGAATATTCACCTGAAGTTCGAAATCATATCATGTCGCATGTTCTATTAAACATTATTAACTTAGCACTCAACGTCGAAAAAATTTGTAGTCAGGTTTGTCGAATACTTTGATCAATGTCACCTACGGTCTTAGGACTGATTTTTGGTTTCATAATAACTATTAATAAAAATATATCGAGTATAATTTAAGTACGGTTGCGTACCTGTTCCGAGATCGATGGATTGTATCGATTAAATGATTGTTCTATTCTCTATGGCAAAACAAAATACAAAGAAAGTAGTTTTACTTTTTAAAATTAATAGGACTTTCATGTCAAGATAGGTCGTAACTATTATCGAAAATTAATGAGAGTTTATCTTTCGTTAGTTTAATGTGTTTGAATTATGGCAAGAGGCTATCATTGTAAAACTTTAATTCAATATGTCGTATTGTTCTTTATAGCCATTACCTTTACTAAGTATCGGAACCAATCTGTCAGTCGTTATGTCACAATACCAATGTGCATCATTATTGGCATGTGCATTTTTCTGTCTTTATGAAACAAGTGAAAATTCAGCTACATATCGTCACACTCAAAATTATCAAGACCTTAATTTTGACAGGTAGATGCTTTCGAGATATCAAGCAAAAGTTAAGTTGTACTTCTGGTTTCTAGTTTTTTCGGCAGTTATGGAAATATACCATCGATATTGAGAATTGAAAAATTGAAATGTATTATGAACTATTTCCGGCGTATTACACATGAAAGTTCGTTCTTCAAAATTTACTCCATGATAATAATAGTAATTGATGGATTTCAGAACCGACGGGTGTGATTCAATTTCAACGTTATAGATTACCCACTAAAAATATTCCGAAGTGGCGAAATTCTAATCGATCCATTTCACGTGTTCACATAACTTACAATCGAACTATTGAAGACATGGATTTTTATCTTCAAGTCTGTTGATTACTAATTATTATTCTATGAAACAAACAAAAATTTATTATGTTTCAATTTATTATAGGTTGACTTTGCTAATGAATATATTGTAAAAGAACTTGATAATCGATGATTACTTTCAGAATATGTCTATTTGTTTCAGGGTGGTGGTGTCATGGGTGATGGTTGTGTTCAAGAAGAAATTCGTTTTACGGTCTGTCCAGAGATGTTAACTAGTTTACTTTTCTGTGAAATAATGAAAGATGACGAATGCATTTTTCTTATTGGTTGTGAACGTTATTGTTCATATAAAGGTTATGGGTTTGGCTTTCGATTTAATAATGATTATGTCGATAATACACCGAGGTATGCATGATTTTCGATTTTAACGTAATAGTTCTTTTGGCTGACTCAGCAAATGGCAACATCTCTTGTATATTAAATTTAGAGATTCTTGGGGTCGTAGCATGTGTCACGTGGTTGCCATTGATGCAATTTGCTTTTCGGATAGACGATCGCAATTTTCAATGGAAACTACAGAACGAGAGTTGATCAAAGCTTACACAGGTTTTCAGACGTTGAATATACCCGCAGAACAACCTCGTGTCGGCGTTGCTACTGGTAACTGGGGTTGTGGTGCTTTCAATGGCGATGTAGAACTAAAAGGTTAAACAATGCATCAAGAAACAAAAAGATCCATTTTATCTTTCTTTTTCTTTAAAGCAATTATTCAATTAATGGCTGCTTCCGAAGCACAACGTCCATTGGTTTATGTTACATATCGAGAGCAAGCATTAGCACAATTGTTCTCGTCAGTTTGGGATCATTTAATTGATCATCAAGCAACTGTCGGTCATCTTATGCAGCTTTTGGAAATGTATATCAAGAGAGAATTCTATACACGAATGGGATTATTCGAGTTTATTATGGCAGAAACAAGTGCACAGCATATCCTGAAATCACGTGATTGACTGTATTCTAATTCGAACAAAAACTTATACTACTAGAATTTATACGTATTGAAAATTTATCGTATTTTTTTTTGACCAACTCAATAGTTTAATTCAGAGGCTCTTTTTTCGAGGGAGGAGTTCACATATTGGAAAACAAAATAAAGTATTTGTTTCATCGTGTATAAATGCATCTTTGAGAAAGGTCAACATGAATAAGGCATGCACAGGTAACGCTTACTGAGAGTCGACTCAGGTGGTCCTAGACGAAACTACTGGATTTTATTCGAAAACTTTGATATCCTTCGAGAACATTGTGCAATTAACTGTAAGTACATGCTCTGTAGCAATCTGAATTAATTCTTAACTAGAACGAACGAATAGGATTTCATGATGTGTATAATACTCATTTGATGCGACTCTGTACATAAAAAAGTTCTTTTTATTCTTGCCAAGATCGCTTTATAACTGCCATCATTGAGATGTTTCTAGAATATCTAACTTCATTAATCGATTCAATTGATTTTTATTGAAGCAACTTAAT